TTTGTTCTGAAATTACTTCTAAATCTGAGTCTTCCTTAGCCATTGTTTACCTTATCCTACTCCCTGTCACAGGTAGGTTTTTCATGTGCTCCATGCCATATCTAGTCACCTACTGAATGATCCTCAGGGGTTTCTCATGAATGAATGCTAGAACACAGGATTGGAATGGATGTCAAGAAATCGTGGTTGTTGTCAGTCTTTCATTTTAATTCAATAAACATTCATCAAGACCTTCCTTATATGAACTACATAACCATAAATGATAGCATTTGACATCTACCAGAAGTACTGCATATACAACCTGGCTAGCTTTCCTGTGTTTTTAAAGTTTTACAATGGCCAGATATTGCAGTGGCAAGCCTTTTTAGAAAATTTCATCCTGGGTTTGCATTAAAGTTTTTGGCATAATTGTTCACAAGTAACAGAAACATTAGAATAGCAAATTTAGTAAAACTTTTAATCATTACGTTTCTTTAGTATTAAATCTTTTAGATTTCCATTATTGTGACTGAATTTTGAATTCATACCAGAATTTTGAAAAATTATTTTGGATACTGATTAAAAAGTGACTTAAGAAAGTGGGAGTGAGGATGGAAAAATACAGAAAGGTACTTCACAGTTTCCACATCCATTTCTGAAATTTGAAGTTCAAATTTAATAGAGTTTATATGTAAGTAGTTGAGGTCAAACTTGAAATACCTGTATTCGGTTGCTGTCTTAGGTACTTTTTCTTGTTGCTGATACGAAATGCCTGACACTCAAATGAGGAAAAGTTTATTTAGCTCACGGTGTGTAGAGGTTTCAGTCCACAGTTGGCTGGCTCCAAGGCAGACATGGCAGAGGGGCATCACGGGAGAAACAGTTCATAGTAGGCACAAATGAGCAAGACAGCAGGCTACAAGTGGCAAGTGAGAGTACCAGCTTCTTTCTGTCCCTTTATGTTCTATCTAGGGTACCCGCTCTTAGGGCATTTATACACACATCTATGCCAAGCCAATCAGTGGACTAATTTAGTAATCACGCACTCTTAATCCTGGCATCACATACTCTAGATCCAGCTACCTCTGAAAAAGCCCCACGTATGACCTCATGAGGCTTTGGGGTACATCTAGACACAAACAATAACAGATGCTGCCACCTCTGAAAATGTCTGGCTTCTCTTTTCATTATATTATACAAAGGTCTATGCGCTTTGCATAGTTTGGAGTAAAAACAGATGAATTTCAATAAGGAAAAATACAACCTGTTTTTACTCAAAATACTTCTGACACCACATATATGGGGTTTTGGACACTAGTCAAATTTCCAACTCTCTGATACCAAGAGATTCCTGTAGTTTAGTTCATTTCTGATGCTAATTATCTAAGAGTAGTTACAGACCCTACAGTTAAGGACCCAAACCCTCAGGAGTACCCCCATTTTAGATAGATTTCAATACCAAGTCCCGTGCCTCATGAACTCCTTTCAGACAGCTGTAAAACAGGGTTCCCAAGACCCATTCCTTGGATTTGAAAATTTGTGAGAACAGCTCATCAAAATTAAAGAAAATAATTTACTTAGAATTATTAGATCATTGCAAAGGATACTATAGGATAGAAATAAATAGCCATGTCAAAGAGTTACATAGAGAGGCCTGGAAGCATACCAAGGGCTGCGCCTCTGTTCTCATGGAGTTGGGCTGCACCAACCTCCAGAAGTGAGGGTATACGTTCACCAACCAAGAAGCTCTCGGAAGCCCATCCTTCACAGTTTTCCAGAGGCTTCATTACAAAGGCGTGATTTTAGGTTAAATGATTTGCAATTGGTGATTACCTCGATCTCAGCCCCATCTCTTTCCCCCAGGGGTTTTGGGGATGAACCTTCCAGCCCTCCATTTGTGGCTTGGTCTTTCAGGTGAGAATCCCTCACTTTGAAACTATCCAGGGATCCACCAAGAGTGGCCTCCTTAAAATCAATGACACTCTTGTTACCCAGAAAAAAAAAATCTCAAGAGATTTAGGAGCTGTGGGCCAGGAACTGGAGACAGACCATCATGTACTTCACACACAGTTGAAATGTAGTAGAAATGATTGAAGATATCCAAAGCATGACTGAGCAAGAGAACCAGTTTCTAAACCTTTGGGATAATGTTTATTAAGGATTATTTTGCAATTATTTGAAATATTTTAATGGCATGCCCTTTTAATTTTCATGCCACACATGACCATGCTCTGATATTATGGTCATTTGTATGGATGAGCAGAGCGATAGAGAAATTCCATGCTTGACATACAAGCACGGGGACACTCCAGAAGAGCAAGAGGAGACTGTGTTGTTTGCACAGAGCAGTTCCCTCTTAATCTAGAGATGATCCAATGTGGACTTCAGCCAGGCATGATAAGCATTTACAGTACAGGCTGCAGTCCTGAGAGGAGAGGTTATCTGAGGAACAACTTGCTGCATTCTTTATTTCCCCTCACAGCCGTGCATGCAATAAGGCAGCAGATAAAGGAAGACTCTTACTACAGGGGCCCCTAGGCCACAGGAGCTTTCAACACAGCATCAGGGGCTAGGGGCAAGAGACCTTTTGGCAGGGTTTGGAGCATAGAGTGCAGGATAGATGTGGACTTGGCTAAAGGGTTTACATCAGTGGTCAAGGTTAAATGGAGAAGCTGGGATGTAGAAAGGGCTTAGCATTGTGGATGAATCCTGCCTGGAAAGCTGGTTCTACTCAGAGAGCAGAGGTTCAGAGCAAAAGTAGATGGAGTGTTGCAGGAGTTGTAATTGAGGGGACAGTATGAGTACCAGAAGCCCAGGTTGCTGTCTGTCCTCTCCTACCCTGGCAATAAAGGAGAGAGATGGAAATTCCCAGAAGAGCCCTGGTGAGGGAGGCAGCCATGGAGAAGTGACCATTTCCTATGATTAGTGAGGCAGAGCCCAAGAAGAGTTAGCCTTGTAGCTATAGCTGAGAGGGATTGCTCCAGCCTAGAGAGACATTCCAAGGCAGAGAGGGACACAGAAGGACTTCTGAGAAACTATTGCATTCATCCAGGTCATTTGTTATAGTTACAAATGGGTCATTGGTGTCCCAGGGCATTTCTGAATTGTCAGACAGCATAACAATGACTACTCAAACTTGTTGAGTACATTCAGGCAAAGTTTTGTTATAATTTTAGAATAAAAAGTTAAAGGGTTTTGTGCTTAAAAGGAGAAAAAGTTTACCTGCAAAAGCCACAAATGTGTGTCAGTTCCCATCGTTAGGGACTGGGAACATTGATGTCTGACAGGAACTTTTAATCTTTTAATTCAGACCTCAATTAGTCATTTTTGGCTTAGTTCTTATGCCTCAGTACCTGTGATTTATAGCCCTGGCTTGGCTTTGTGGGCCATATGTGTTAATACGAATTAACTCCGCAAACTGTTACTTTGAATTCTTTTTCTTTTCTGACTCACCTTCCTCCGCCACCTTTAAAAGTAAGCACTTTATTTGCAACATAAATGATGAAAGTAATCGCCTGCACCTAAGAGTGTTGCCTTGTGCTTTTTTTTCCTTATGATGAAATTTTTACAAAGTGTTAATTGTAAGTTCTCAAGGAATTTATGAAAGCTGCAGCATAATCAATGAAAGTCATTACCCACACCTAAGAATATTGCCTTGTACTTTTCCTTACGCATATAACTTTTTATAAAGTGTTGATTGTAAGTTCTCCTTTGATTAATTTTTCTCATATTGGACTGCATTGTTTCTTGCTCTGATCCCCCCATACACACACACACACACACACACACACGCACACAGGCACACGCCCTGATGGGGTGGCATTAATTACTTCACCCACATCCAGTATTTATTTACATCTTTGTGTACAGACACCTTTGCAGACTGCCGTGGCAACATGAAAGTGAAAGGGTCTGTGTAGTTCTCTGTTTATATTCTGTAATTTCTTTAGCAAACTACTGAGCCATGGAGAGTTTCATAAGCAGTTCCTCATGTCTGGTTGCCTGTTGGACATGAACGGTATGGACCAGCTTTTGTGGTTGCAGATGGGGGAAACAGGCACAGCCCAACTGGTTCCATATCCTTTTCAGAGTTAGATAGAGAGTGGCATCATCAAATTAATTAAAAACCCACTTTAGATTTACAATTAGAAAGAAAGCAGTAGGTCTCCAGATAGTTTTGTACTTCATACCCAATTGATGTATTTGGAAATGGCAAGATTTATTTCCAGCTGTTATTTCCTTAGGGACAGACTGCAAATACATTTATTTATCCACTCAGCTTATACAGAGTGTGAGTGATGAGGTGACCTCCATTTTAGCAAGATAAATTCCAGTATCCACAGTCCAGCCAACCTCATCTATTGCTGTATAGCTGAAGCATATATGGAAACTTGTTTTCTCCAGGAGGCAGGGAAGCCCCAGCACTCATACATCAGGTTGCTGTGAACAGGTGACAGAACTTTCAGACACCTATTACAGAGGGGTTGCTGCTCATCTCCACTGAGTAGGTGTCAGAGTCTGATTGTGCACAGGATGGCTTTGGATTCTCATGTGCGCACAGCCCAAGGTCAAGGGCTCACTACCATTAATGGTGAGTCAGAGGTGGGGAGCAACTGTCACTTAGAAAGTGTTTTTTATCCCTGTGATGCAATTCCACTAGCAAGAGGCCATGTTTACTGAAGATGCTTCTGCTGTGTTTAAGGTGACTGCCCCATTCCTCTGTGCTTCCATGGAGAGCCCCTAGGAAGATCAAAGCAATGTGATCATTGGGTTTTCTGCTTAGTGTAAATTTAAGCATGATCACAAAAGCTTGTTGCCTCTCCCTTGGAAAAGCAATTTAGTCTGCAGAAAATAATTAAATCCTCAGTCTCTTACAATAATTAGAAATTTGAAATGGGGAGAGTTAATTATTTCCATCAGATTTCAGTTGCCTAAGAAAATGCTCAAGGATGGAATCCAGACAGTCTTGAACTAATTCATGATTCCGTCACTTTCAGTATTTTTCATCTTTCTCCCCACAGGATCATGCAGATTTGCGAAGCCATTTCTTCACTGTTGGGATGAAGCTAGAGACAGTGAATATGAGTGAGCCCTTTCATATCTGTCCTGCATCAGTGACCAAGGTGGGTTTTGCTCCTTTGCTCCAGAGTGAATCAGCTGATGAAATATACTCAAGCAAGGTTATACAGTGACAGCAAATAAACCAAAGGGACATTGCTGCCTCTCCAGGATGCTGCTACCTGATATGTGTCACTGGTAGCAGAGTGAATCTGATCAAATGCCTCTTCTTAGAATGGATAGGATGGATTTTTTTCTTCTAATAGATTTGTCAAGTTTTATGTTATAATCATTATAGGAGTAATAACTTGATCTTGCTGCATGGATAGTAGTGATAAATGATCTACAGACATTCCTCATGTAACAACTGAGTTAAGCACTTGAGACTAATTCGTTATATGAATTGATCACTAAATAAGGAATTGTATATAGTATGTACATTACAATCTCCAGAACAAAGGAATAGTCAAAGAAAACTCAACTTGATGACTTCACTTTAATTTGCTAACTGAAGTACTGGAATGTATAACAGAATATTAAACTACGGTATTATATTGTATAACCAGCAAAAATTTCAGCACTATATAAACAAGGTGTACTGTACAAAAAACAATATTGAGGTTCTAGAAACAAGATATACCGAACTGTACAAAAAAAAGATGAGCAGTAAGTCTGAGCAGCAGGTCGTTAAGTCTGAACAGTCAGTAACCAGGTGAGTCTTTAAATGATAATCTTTTTTTTTTTAGGAGTAGGAAAAATTTATTGGGAGAAAGAAAGCTTCTGCCTAAGAGAGACAGATGGGGGACTGGAAAGTGGGTTACCCTTTAAATGATAATCCTAAAGTTGAAATTTGTGCACTTTCATCCACCATCCATTAAAAACTTCCCTATTTAAAATGGTCTTTAGTCTTTTTTACCATGCATTCTTGTGGATGTCACAAGTTTTTGTAAAACTCAACAGTTGTTCCTTTCTGAAAGTTGGCCACAATTTCCTTTTGTCCCAGCAGTGGATAACAGCAATGCCAGCTGCCCACTTACTTTCTTGAATATACATCACATTGTCCTCAGTCTGAAAAGCAGGGTCAGCTTCACCTGGACCTTACCAAATAAACTAGAGAGCTGAAGTGCTCCACCTGTCAGTGGTAGTGGCCTCTCTCACATTTTTATGCCTTTACATAATTGCCATCTATAATGTTAGAAAGTGACACACTAATTGTAATTACTTCATTCCAGATACTATTATCTAGTTGGGTAAACTTTCGATGACAGTCATTTGAGTTTTCACAATAAATAATTATCTCATTGTTCCTCTGAGCAAAGAGGGTGGAGGTATTTTCAGTGATTTTTAAAGCACATTTAGAAAATTTTTTCTTTTTCTTTGTACCAAAGATAAATTACTTAAGCCATTCTGTTTCACATGTATCTGTCCTTCTTTTCTTACTGTAAAGAGTGTGAGCTGCATTACATGCTTCTGTCCCTTAGAACTGGATGTAGGCATCTCTCCAGGTCCAATAATCATCTTCATGCAATGAAATGTCAGAATATTCATAGTGTAATGGATATTTACAATTAAATGTATTTCTCTGAACACTTGAAAATGTTTTAGAATATTGTGTTTCAGAATATAACACATTATGTTATCATTACTTATCATAATGAAAATTTCATTTTTCCCCTTGAGGTTTTCATGATGGCACAACTGATGGGATAGGTAAATAATATTGAAGCAAAAAGACAAGAATGCAGACAGGCAAGCATGTATAGCAGGTCCAGTATTAAATTATCAACCTTTAGCAGAATAGCAAATTATGATTTTCATGTCCCAGAAGAGTGAGATATTGACAGTTGATGGCAATGATGACAGTAGCATTTGTGTGTGTAATGTCTTGATTTAGAGGAAGGAATAATGGAATTAGAAGTCTCTGGGAGGCTGAGGCAGGACAATAACAAGTTTGAGTCCAACTTGGGCAACTTAGCAACTTGGTGCAACCTTGTCTCAAAATGAAAAATAAAAAAAGGTCTGGAAATGTAACTCACCGAGAAGACCATGGGTTCAATTCTTGGCACTCCCGAGGGAGATCGGGAGATCCGGCCATCTGGAGATTTGGAAGTTTGGAGTCTGGAGTTCTGTTCCTGTCTTTCAACTCTGGGCTATGCAATCATGGGCAAATTAGTTAACTATCTGAACTCTGTATTTGAGACCTGTGGGCTCTGGACCAAAAGGAACACAAAGCAATGGTCGTGGAACATGAATACTGATGAGTCTGATGAAACTCACCAATCCTCTCCTATGAAGTGTGTTCAGAAGAATGTGCATTTTAACCAATTTTGGAAATCCCTTAATATTTATATTTACAGGTTCATATGGCACTTAGAGATCCTACTACCAGAATTTTGTACTTTAAAAAAAGTTTTTTATGTATGTGTGATTAGTTGTGCATATGCACATACATGGTAGAATAGATCACATTAATTTCACAGATATTTACTGAGCATTATAGGCACTGTTCTGGACAACAGGCCATGGGCAAAGTCTATGCTGTTGTGGGGAGTCTATTGTTGCAGGGAGAAACACACAGTAAGTATATTACATTGTAAATGCTAAGGTGAAAAATACACCAGGGAAAGGGCTAATGGAGCACTGGTATGGTAGAGGGCTGTGATTTTATAGAGGCTAGCAGGGAAGACCTCCCTGGGAAGGCTGTTCATGTTTGGTCCTTTGCTCCTTAATGCTGACTTGCGAAGGCAAGCTTCAGGCAGGAGAATCAGAACTATTTACTGGAATTAACATAATACTCATCTTTATCCAGTGAAGTGAGTTTCTGCTCCTGCTTAACTTTGAACTAAGTTGCTTCAAAAAAGTACTTTATAAATGAAGAACCCAGGCATTATGGGTTTGTAAAAATGTTAAGGTTTTCTAAAAAAGACTGGTTTGTCTTTTTTTTTTTTTCCTGGCTTGTTTTACACTCTAGTTTTTTTGAGTGTTAAGGGCCGTCAGATTTTTGCTCCCTGTTTGGGTTATCAACATTCCTTGTTGCTTTTTCATTGTTGATTTTTTTCTTATATTCATTGGATAGTTATCCGGCTTGTATGCAAAGTATTTCCTATGCATTTGAGAATACATTGATGAATAAAAAAAGGTGCCACTGTCCTCAAATAACTTACCATTTATTGGTAGAGACAGGTGTGTTACCAGTCCACAGAAGGAATGAGGATTTTCAGCATGGAAATTTGTACCTGATGCTTTGGGAGCACAGAGCAGGGCCCTTTATTTCAGCCAGAGTAGGGGCATTGAAATTGGAGATGCACTTGGAAAAGTGCAGTGCGTTTTGACAGACTAGCCAGGCAGCTGGAGCACTGCAGTGTGTGAGACACTGAATGGGGCCAGGCTTTGTGTCAATACCTGTTGGGTAGCATGATGGGATATTTTGGAGGATGTGATGCAGGATGAGGGTGGAAGTCTCCCATGCCAGATCTTGCAGGTTTTTTGGGTGATTCTGTATGAGGGGTTTGGTGTCTGCTGGACATACCGAGAGTGGCACTCCAGTGCCCACCTTAGCTCTTATCTATGCTGGGGTTTGCCTGTCTTGCTTATCCATTTGTTTTTCTGCCAGCGGTGGCCATTGTTTACTTCACTAAGAGATGTTTTAAAAATTCTTCCTTATATTTTATTCATTGATCTGCTCACTTTGGCAGCATATATACTAAAATATTTTATTCATTGATCTTGCCATTAATTTAACCACAATGATCCATTCAACCTTTTTACCTGCTAGATTAATTTGGTAATATGTATTCAAATGCCAGATTATGCTCAGATCAATTTGATGAAATATATCCATTGCCTTTGAAAACTGTGCCAGCATTATATATGTAATGCCAAGAAATTAACTCGGCATTTACTTTTTTTTTTCAGGTTTTCAACAATCATTTTTTTCAAGTGACTATTGATGACTTAAGGCCAGAACCTAGTAAACTCTCAATGCTGTGCCATGTAGATTCTTTGGGGATTTTGCCAGCACAATGGTGCCTTAAAAATGGAGTCAATCTCACTCCTCCCAAAGGTTAGTATTCGGTGAAAATTTGCGGGATTTGAGTGGTTCAGGATGGTGTCTTGCTGTCACTGAAGTGATACCTTTGTTAATCTGGTGAAGTTTGGGCTGTGAAGAATTTAGATGTGGTAAGAGTAGTGTGTTCTTAGTTAGCATGACATACTCTAATGTCTACTGTGCGCCATCCTCTTTTCTGCCTGCTTCAGTTGATGGCAGATCCTCTGGCAATTACTGTATTATTGGTAGTTGCACTGCTGTCTCACAGTGATAAAGCATGCGGTGTTGCTAAATGATTGAGGTTAAAGACTTGAGAGTGTCAGAGACTCAGCTTTAAAAATGCAAGAAAATGCTAATGAAGTATTTCTTTAGATTTTTATTTCCAACAAGTCACATTTTCCCCAGGGCCCAGTTACTCTCAGGTATCCAACAATTTGATGTTCTGGTACATTAAAATAATTCATTTGGGAGCTAGTGTGCATGAAAGTCATTTTAGATTGGGACCTAAGAACCACATGTTTAGTAGGTAACATCTTTGTAGTTTAGCAAGGGGGTTTGTTGTCCCCTAAGGCTTATGTAGGGAGGAACAAAGTAAAATGAACAAAATGAAAGCCAGAAGAAAAAAAAAGAATTATCAGAAGAGAAAATTGAGAAAAGATTAGAAATATAAACTAATTATGGGGGTGGTTTAATAGATAACCTCAAATAAAAAGGAGTTTTAAACTAAACTTTTCAGCTTTCTAGAGATTGGAAAACTTCTAGCATCAACCATATTGAGAAAGTCCCCGTTTTTCGGGTAGCTGTCTCACATGTGTTTTGCATCATTTAATTGTGTTGCGACTGGCTTATATATAGCATAACTGCTCACTGGGCTTTTATCCTATTTTTCCTCCATACTCTTCCCTTTGGAAGTGATTGGATATTTCTATTTCAGCTATTGACTCTGCAGATTAAAACTGCATAGTCATGACATGAGGTCTCATGATAACATGGTGAACTTTCACATAACACTACAACTTTGCTGTCACTGTTCTTGCTCATTTAGTCCTCAGAATTATGCTATGAGGAAAGTTAGCTACGGAGTTTATGGTATGTGCCTAGGGTCACATGGATCATGGTAGGCAGCAGGAAGCCCTAGCTCTTGAGTCTGTGCTTGATGACGGTTGGAAGGACTCCAGTCCATGAGCCCCACGTGTGTGTTTCCATGTACTCCACTAGCTTTATGACCTGAGCCAGGTCACTGTGCTTCAGTTTTGAAGACTACTTGAAATGGGGACATATGTGTGTACTCCCTTAATAAGACCATACACAGTTTCTCTTAGGAAGTCCTTTCCTGCTGTGGAACTTCGGCAACAGGTTGTCTGGCAAGTTGGAAAGCTCTATCACCTGAGTATTTGTGATATTTGGTGCAGTGAAATTATCTTCATGCAGCCTTCCAAATTATTTCTTCCTCTATTGGCACTAAAATGTATCTTTTGCATATTCTCAAAGAAAAAGAATGTTTCTTAATGGATATAATAAGTTGTTTATAGGATGTTGAGTAATAGTAACTAGTGCCTGCCAATAAGAAAATCTTAGTGATAACTTTTTAAACTCTGAGTGTTCAAGATATGATTAAATATTATTAGTTTAGGATCCACTGGTAATCTGCAAGTGGTCGTGGGACTATTTTCTGGAAATAGCAGAATTTTTACTTGTAAACCAATTAAGATTAAAGACCAACAAATTATAGAATGGATAAGGGGAACAAACCAATTAGTGCATGGTAAAAAGCACAGTGACTCAGACAAATCCATCATGATAGGAGAAATGCAAGTAGGAATCCTATTGAGGTGCTACACATTTAGAAGATGAGGTAGAAGCCCAAGGAGAAAGAACAGAAGCACTCAGTTTAAGTGAGTCTAGAGGAACAGAGGTTAGGGTGCGATAGCATGGAAGGCAAGGGGGGACAAATTTACTAAAATTATAGGCGCGGTTGCCCATTCACTCAGGATCTTCACTTCTGGAAATTTTTCCTAAAAATATACTGCACAGATAATGTGGGCATGAAAGTTTGTGTGGTTTTTGCAATATTATTTACAATACCAAAAAGACTAGACAAAATTTAAGTGCTGTGGGGCCCATAGTCTCAGGAAGTCCCATACTCAGGAAGCTGGGACAGGAGGATTCCTTGAGGTCAGGAGTTCAAGACCAGACTGGGCAAGGGCCAGGGATGTAGCTCAGAGGTGCTGCACCTGCCTGGCAAGAGCAAGGTCCTGAGTTCAATCCCCAGTGTGGAAAAAAACCCAAAAACAAAACAGAAAGACCAGACTGGGCAGCATACTGAGACCCCATCTAAAAGAAAAAATCCAAGTGTTTATCAATGCAACACTAGTTAAACAGATGTTGGATATTGATCTAATGAAAACCGTTTGGTTTTTAGGGAGAATGAGAGAAATCTGCATATTTATATGGAAAGCTATCCACTGTGAGTTGTAGAGGTCTGTAGGTATTCTAAGATGTTTTGTTAGAGAAGAGTTAAGAGTCTATTTTGTGCTTCTCATATGTCTGCAAAGAAGTCTCTGGAAGGTCATATACACACTTATTGGAATGATTGTGTCTATATGAGCTTATGGGGTACAAGGGTGGGAAGCAGGGCAGGGGGTGAGGTAAGAATAAGACTTTAACAGAGTACCTTTACCCTTTATATCCATGGCTCCTGCATCTGTACATTCAACCAGTGGTGGATTGAAAGGATTTGGGAAAGAAAACTCTATCTGTATGAACATGTAAAATCTCTTTTCTTGTTATTAAAGAATACAGTATAACAATTATTTACATAACATTTATATTGTACTAGATAATACGATGTAGGGATCATTTGAAGTTTATAGGAGGACATACATAGGTTGTATCTGAGTACAATGCCATTTTATATAAGAAACTTAAGCATCTGTGGGTTTTGGTATCTATAAGGGGTCCTGGTTTCAGTACCCCCATGGATAACCAGAAACAACTCTAGCATTTTTGTCTTTGAAATTTTCAAGCTTTTGGACCTAAATAAATGTGTTACCTATTCAAATATAATCATGTTGTTAAAAATAGAATGTTTCTTTTAATAACTGAAAGGGATCTTAGACTTTGTCTCATCATTTTAACCCCATTCATTTTCTTCCTGAGGAAATTGAAGCTTAGTTGTGTTACATGAATTTTGAAATCCTGAAGACAAGGGCCGGAAATTCAGCTCAGTGGTGCCGCAACCTGCCTTGCAAGCACAAGGTCCTGAGTTCGATCCTCAGTACCAAAAAAAAAACAACAAAAAAATAAGTGAAATCCTGAAGACAGAGGTTGACTTAAAACCTGACCTAATCCCTTTCCCACATAACCATATCCATACTTTGTTGCAGTTCTAGCTTGTTAGTATGTTCATAAAACCATCCTTGTCAGTAATTTTGTGGCATTTTGGTAACCTTAAGCAAGACTAACAGATGTTAATGAGCCATGACTTTTACATGACCGAAATCATCTGTATGTCGAAGCAGTTGGTGAATTACTATTGTAGGAAATCATTTTCCAAGTGTATATGATTATAATACAATTGTGGCTTTATTTATTTAGCTCCCTTCCCATCTCTGGAGAATAGAATATATTTATTTTTGCAATTAAACTGAATAAGAATTTAGAGGCGGTGCTAGTGGTGGTTTTTGTAATGTGGTTTAGTGGATTCCTTTTGAGGCCATTTATTATATGCTATACCTGAGCACAAGAGCTGGAATCATGCTGTGGAACTTTTTCAAACATCATTCTTTATTTTACTAATGTATGAAAGGAGAAGCTTAAAAAAGCTTTATTTTAAATTTGAATTCTGATGTTTATATCTAGAACATGTAGGATTTATTATACATTCTGTCAAGTGATTTCAGATGTTTCCTGTGTATTTTCCAGCAATGTGTTGCCTTGTTCAAATTTCTGTGAGAACCATGAACACTGCTTGCAATTATGTGATCCCTGATCCCCAAAAGATATTAGGTAGGAAACAGCTCATGAGGCAAAAAATATCAGGTGTTATAGGAGAGAGATGTGCAAAGAATGTAGATCTTTGATTGCGTTATTTTGACTTTATTACTACTTAAAAGGACAAGATGTCTAAGACAGAATGGACAGGAATTTTTCGCTGTGATTTTCTGCATAAGTGCTTTCCTGTTAAGCAAAGGATAGAACCTTGAAGATTTTACCCCATTAGTTTAAATGCAATAAACAACACATCAATATTATAGACACTATGAAAAGTGATCAAACAAGTCCATGAATAAATATGCTAAGCTAAAAGATGTACAAGTTATTAGCCATGAGTTGCTATACTTAAATTATTTCATTAACCTTCACAGCATGCAATATCAAAGATTAGTTATAGAATTAGAGGAGGAAGAGTTCCACCCTGGAGAATTTTCTGTAGAAAATGTTAAGACTGTAAATTTCTGTTTTAAAACATGGAAGCAAAGGCCAAAGAAAATGGCCTGTTTTACCATTTGATTTGTCTCTATTAGATTGAACATTTAATAGATACATAAACTGTTAACGTAATTTAGGAAGTAAAGATGTGTTTTAATTATTTTGGGGGCCACAAAGTAATGAATCTCAATTCATATTTTCTAAAGGAAAACCTCAGTCATAAACTGATGTACAGTCCATTCATTATATTTCAGAAAGTGAAAGAAAGTAATAAAAAAAACCTTTTAACTTTTAAAAGTTAACATTTTAATGTCTGATTTAGATTTCTTTAAAATTAAATAAAGCATTGCATTGGACACAGAATCATCTTGGCTCATCTATTTCTCACACCCTATGTCTGATCCACCAATGAGTCCTATCAACATTTTCATAATCTGCTGTGTGTTATTGTGACCACCTGGCCTAGGTTACCATTTAACCCTGCCTAGTTACTGCAGTGGTGCCCTCTTTCCCTCCACTGATTCCGACACCATTAGATTGATCTTGGCAGAATAGAAATTACACACATCTCCTCTCCTCAGACT